CCCTTTTTTTTTTTTTTAGTTGGAGTCTCACTCTGTCACCCAGACTGGAGTGCAGTGGCCGTTCCTGACCACTGCAACCTCGATCTGCTGGGCTCCGGCGATCCTTCCGCCTCAGCCTTCCAAGTAGCTGGAACTACAGGCGCGCGCTACCACGCCCGGCTCATTTTTTGATTTATTGTAGAGATGAGGTCTCGCCAAGTTGCCCAGGCGGGTCTCGAACCCACGGGCTCAGGCAATCCACTCACCTCAGCCTCCCAAAGCGCAGGATTACAGGCTGAGCCACCAAGCCCAGCTAAAAGGCCCTTTTTTTTAAAAAAAAAAATTGTATAAATAACATTTTATATGTGGCATATTAAAACATTTAACAATTTTTAATAACTTAAATCACTAGATTAATTTTTACAATGGTTTTGGGTTTACAGAAAAATCATGTGGAAGACTCAGACTTTCCATAAGCCACCTGACCCCTAATTTCCCCATTAACATCTTGCACTAGTGTGATGCATTGTTATAGTTGATGAGCCAATGTTGATCCATTGTTTATAACTCAAGCCTGTTTTTTACCTTAAGGTTCACTCTTGGTGTTGTACATTCCATAGGTTTTGCCATGTTTGATGACATGTATCCAGTATCACACAGAATAGTTTCACTGCTCTAACTGTACCCCGTGTTCCACCTATTCATCCTTCCCTTTCACTTCCCACACCCCTGGCAACCACTCAAAGGCCTTCCACAGGAGGTCAACTCGTAAACGAACGGCCTTGTTCCAAGTGTTTTGCATGAATTAGCCTGTGGAACAACCCAGAGGCTGGGCTAAAGCCCTGTGGGAGGTCCGAATGTGGGCCCACGGCCCAGTCTCTGCTAGAAACCAACCTTCCAGAGTATATTAAGGCAAAGGGGGATAAAGGACTGGCCCAAGGGCAAGGAAAGGGTTTTCCAGCTGAAATTAATCCATGTGAGGTTGGGCCTGCTTGGAGGAAGCCTCAGCCCTGAGTCAGGTGGGCTTTGAGGTTTTAAACTCCCTCCCTGAGACCTCTTGGTTTTGGGGGACCCAGTACCAACTGCCACTCCCCTCACACTTTCCACAACATACTGGTCTCCTCCTAGGGCCGTGGGTATTTCTAGACCTGGCCAGGGTGGGCTGTGTCTGCAGTGGACATCGACTCACCTAAGCACACACTGGTCCGATGGTGGCTCTCCTCACTTTCCGAGATGGTCAAATGGCACGCTTGTCTTTGGGGAGAGGGGAACAGAGAGATGGGGGGACAAGCTTCAAGTCAAGCCCCTCAGCTGCTGGCAACTGTGATCTGGCATCTCTCCCCACCACGGCGTTCCACCCTCACCCCCGCCCAGCCCCTCAAGCCAGAGGAAGGCATATGTGAGCCTAATAACCCTAGGACACAAGAACATTGCCCCTGGAGGCAAACACACTGCTCAAGGCCACACCTAAGTGGGTGGCCAAGGAGGGTTCACTCCCAGGGCCCCTCCCACCAATGCTCTCAGTCACAGGCAGGAGGATGAGGGCAGGTCTCCCTCCCGGCCACCTCTACTAGCCTACCTTCTCTGGGCAACTACAGGTTCCCCTATTCCAACTGTCCTAGTCTAAATAGACATGGCCCCAGGTGGTGTCACGGACAGGACCTCACTCCCCATCTATCCATCTCATGCTCTCACCAGTGCCAACAGGGAATCCTGGGAGGCTCCCTGATGGCAAGAAGCAGGAACATCTCATCTCTGAGCCCTGCTGCCCACCCAGGCTGGGCCCCTGGCAGCGAGGGCTGGATCCCAGCTGAACCACTTGGTGGGGGCAAGTTACTTCTCCCATATTTGGCTTCCGACTTTGCTCAATGGGGCTCATTAGACCTCAGAGAATTAAAAAGGTCAAGCCCCAGTTCAACAAAGGATCTCATTCCAAGATAATCAGAGACTCAGTGGAGAGGAATGCACACGGGAGAGGCCTGACCCCACACCAGGGGCCTCTAGCTCAGCTGTGAGGCCCAGAGGGACTGGGAGAGGGGCGCTCACCTGTGAGGCTGGGATCCGGGAGACCTCTTGCCGCCCAGTGAGGTCTGAGGACGAGACGTTGGCGGGTGCGCCCCGGTGCAGCCTCATACTCACCTTCCTCTCCCGGTCGACCCGTGAGATCGCTCTGGGAGAAGTATTGCCTGGAGGGCAAGATGAGGGAAGCCAGTCTGAGTAGGCCCAGACAGAGACCTCAGCCCCACAGGCCCTGCCCACTGTCCGAACGCCTCACTCACCAGCTTGCTGGATGCGGGAGGCTGGCGTGGAAGCCACAGGCTCGGCAGCACTGCGGAGCCGGTTGGCAGTGGCCCCTGTGGGTGGGCCAGGGGGCAGGGCTCTGGTCGCGGAACCCCGCAGCTGTCCCATCCTCTCCTCGCGCTCGTGTTCTCGCCGCTCCCGGTCCACGTCCTCGGGGTTCCGGGCTGCACCCTGCAGGAACAGGAAATGAGACACCTGTCAGCCCTGGAGGCCAGGCTGCTCTGGGCCCCAGCACCCTCTCAGGGTAGAGTAAGGGATGGAGGCCAGGTAGACATCTCAGAAACCCTCTGATCCAGCCTCCTCCCTACAGAGTGGGACACCATGACCCATGATCACACATCACAGACACAAAGCCACACAACCACCAGGAGGAAGGAGAAAGCAGGTATCTGAGAGGCAGAGGGAGATCAGTCTGCCTGGTCTCCCAGAGCTGGAGTCAGAGCCAGGAGGACTAATGTCCCCAGGATGACCAAGGATAGCCCCCTTGGCCCTCCCAACCAGGGGCTGGGCCTGCCCTGGTCCCTTCTGCGTATCAAAAATCCCCAACCCCACAGTTTCCAAACTGAGCAGAGAAGGTGTTCAGAGGCCCCCTGGCAGACAGGCAAAGGATGCCCAGAGAGGGGAAAGGACAGGTCTGGAGTCACAGAACCAGTAGAAATCTGGGCCAGGACTTGAGCCAGGTCTTCTGGTTCCCAGACAGGGGCTCTTTTCAGAGGGTTGTCCTTCCCCTGTCCTGGAACCTAGAGATGACTGCTGGCAGGTACTGTGGAGGCTACAGCTGGGAGGCCCAGGGGACCCACACAGATGCTGCCTGCCTTGGGCAGGAGCTCAGGAAGAGCTAGAGAAGAAAATGGGGCCAGACTCCCCATGGAGGAAGAAGAGGCCTTGCAGGCAAGGCTGGAGCAGAAGGGGTGCCCTGAGCCCCCAGGGGCCCTGCCCTCCAGCCACTGCTGCCCCCTGAGCAGGAGGAAATGAGAAAGGCGAGGAGAGGAGCTCGGTGCAGGAGTGGCACCCGGCTGCGTTACCTAGTCGGTCTCGGGGCCGTCCACAGGGAAGGGCGGGGGGCTGGCAGGAGGGGGGCCGCATCTGTGGAGGAGAGAGCTGTGGGCTGAGTTGGGAGCCTGCTCATGGGCACAGGGTATGGGCTCCTGCAACCCTGTGTCTTTCCCGGGGGACTGGCCAAGAAACGGGGGCGGGGTAGACCTTGACTTCAAGCAACCTCAGAAAGTAGTGGCTAGGATCAAAATGATCCCTGAATCCCAGTGCGACACTAAGGTCCAGAAAGCCACATAATCTCCCTGGGGTCACATAGCTCGGGGCAGATCTGTCACCTGGTCCCACTCTGCTCCCTGACCCCAAGACCCCACTATGCAGAGCCCTGCCTTAGCAGAACATTCTAGGAATGAATTTTCCATTCCACCCAGAAGCCCATCGGGCAGGCCTGGACCACTAGGGCTCCAGCTCCTGACCTCTGATACCCCCTGGATTCCCATCCACTCGGCTGCAGGCTGGCAAAGAGCGTGACTAGCCAGAGTCACAGCAAAGCATGAGGGATAGAGAAGAGCTTATGTCACCTCCACAGTGAACTCCCTGTGGGCAGGGGCACAGTAACCCAGCAATGTAGGTTGGTCTCATTCCCTATTGGGGAAACAGAGGCAGAGTGATTTGCTCCGAGGTGCATAGTGGCCAGCAACCACGTGGCGGGCTGGAGCCTCTCAGTAACTACTTGGAGGACCTCTCCACATTTCCATCCAACCCATGTGACGCCTCAAAAAATGCACATTAGGGAGCTTTTTAGGCATTTATTTGCCCACAAAGAAACACAAAAGGCCAGCAAAGTCACAAAAACATCCTCCCATTGCATGGACGTCTTTCCTTGGCTGTGCTGAATCTCTTCCCCTTCAGGTAGCTGGAACACAGTGGCTGTGTGTGCTGAGGGAGGTTTTCAGGCTCCAGGGATATAGGGATTCCAGCGCTCTGATGCCAAACATGGAGCCGCTCAAAGGTCATGGGCAGCATCCTTCCCACGAGTCTGCAGCTGTGGTGCCCAGCAGTGTCCTGTCTACTGGCAGATGTTGGTGAAGGCGTCCTGGGAGGTAGGGCTGACCCGGAGGGGAAGGGCATGGAAGGTTCCCACTGTGTGTTCTCCAGGTGCTTCTGCCCAGTGGCTGCTGGAGATGGTCAAGCTCACCATGGTGGTGATGGGGTCAGAGATGGGTGGAGGGCAAGGTCGCTGCGCCTCTGCCCAGCTTCTGACTCCAGGGCCTGCCTTAAGGGGGGGCCCCATAAAGGGGTCAGTGTGTCAGCAGCAGGTGGAGAGGGTGCTTCTGGCTTAGCTTGAGGGGAGATCTTGTTCACCGGACAGTCCCTTGAGAGGCGCCGTGAAGGAGGCATCGAGAGCAGCACGGTCCACAGAACTTTCTGGGATGATGAAGCAATCAGTCCCATCTGCCTTGGTTGGATGTGGTAGCCACTAGCAGCCAGTTGTGGCTATCGAGAACTTGAAATGTGTCGAATGTGACTGAAGAGCTACATTTTCAATTTTGATTAATTTTAATTAAGAATGAGTCCCACATAGCCACTGGTGACATATTGGATGGCATAGGTCTAGAGAATGCAAAATCCATTCTTGGAGCTGTGCTGAGCTAAAGAGTCAAGTCCATTCCAGACCCAGACCCAGACCCAGACCCAGACCCAGACCCAGACCCAGGAGTGACTTTTTGTAGAGATGAGCAATGTACTGGGGTAAGAAGAGCTGGCCCAGATGCCCCAGGTCCTAGGCCAGGCTCCTTATCGGAAGGTCAGGATAAGGCATCCCCCACCCCCACTCCTAGAAAGGAGGGCAACAGAGGCCTCTCCCTCAAGTCCGTGGCCTGTGAGACCCCTGTTCTCCACCTGAACTCTGTCTCACTCTTTAAGGAATAGGTCCAGGCCACTGTCTGAAACCCAGAGAGAGGAGGAGCCCAAGAGCAATGTGCTGACCTCGGTGTCCAGCACAACAAGGACTCTAGTCCTGAGCATTTGGCAGAGATGGCTGAGGGGCCCGCCATGAAAGAAAGGCACACCAGGATGACGCACCGGGAGGTGTTTAATGAGTTTAGGTTCAATACACAGGTAGCTGAAGGGGTCTGGCTGGGAGCCTGCTCCTGGCATCTGTTCCCACCAGGCCCCTCCCAGGCAGTGGTCATCTCCCCTTGTTCAGGCTCTGTCCTGGCTCTCAGACAGCTGGTTCATTCCCAAGAATCCCACGGCAGGGCCTTTTCCACCATGCCTCTCCACTTCGGAACAGGGGGATGCCCCCATTATCCAAAGGGACACTTCCTCAGGCCTGGCCCCAACAGGCTCAGGCACACCTGGCAACATCAGAAACGGGGACCCGGAGTCCAGACCACAGGCCAGTAGTTTTGGGGGGTTAGCTCCTCCACCTCTTCCACGTGCCTATCTGGGGGGCCTTGGGTACCCAGGGGCGCCGGGCACCTGGAAGGGACAAAGAGAGCACAGCTGAGGCTCAACCTCTTACAATTACCGGCCAAGTGGCAAATCTAGAGAGGCCAGGCATTGGAGGGTCCTTACCAGTACATGGATGGGTACGTGGGCCCGGCACAGGGACAGGGGCGGGGACAGAATGGTGCAATAGCTTCGGTGTCACGGGGCTGAGCCTGGCTCGAGGAAGCCCCCTTTTCCAGAAAAGATGTGAAACAAGACACAATTTCACCGATTCCGGAGCTCCAGGCACGACTGGCAAATAAACACTGCTTTCCACCCTACCCAACCCTCAGGGCCCTCAGAAAAGGAAGACAGAACAGCTGCCTAGCAAGACCCAGGATCCCATGATCAAGAAGAAAGAAACCACCATAAATGGGTCCAGGCTGGCCAGAGGAGCCGCAGTGAAGGCAGTCACCTGGGACGTGCAGAACAAGAGGAGCAGGGCAGCGTAGGCAACAATCAAGGCAACAGGGGGGCCCGCCAACACTACCCAGGCCCTACTGCGGGCACCCAGGAGGCACTCAAGGCTGAGCCAGGTATTCCTGGGTCTGGTGGGAGGCGGCTCCCTGCCTGAGCCCTGTTGACCATGGCGTACGCTGTCAGCACCGATGAGGCTGGAGCAAGGGGGCTCTGGGATCCCAGTGAGGTCAACTGCACTGTCCAGTTCATACTTCCCATCTGTCGGGAGCCCCGCCCACCACCAGGTCATTCTGGTCTTGTGAGTCAGGACCTTCCCCATCCAGGCCCCCAAGCCCGCCTTGGCCTCCAGGCAACTCACGAATTTGAGCATGTTCCAGTCGAAGACATAGTCGTAGGAGAAGCCCTGCCGGTGGAAGAGGTTGCGGAAGAGCTGGCGTAGGTAGGAGTAGTCGGGTTTGTCATCAAACCGCAGGGAGCGGCAGAAGTTGAGGTATGTTGAGAACTCAGCTGGTGGATTCAGGGGACAAAGGAGGCCATGTGAGGTCCATGCTCCCAGAGCCCCAAAGCCAGAGTTGTGCTAGCCACCCCCCCATGCCTACAAATACTTCCAATATAAGAGGGGGCAAGGTGAACAGACAGCAGAACGATGGCCCTGCCTGTGGTAATGACACTCCACGCTGCCTGTGGGCAGAGCCTCTGACAATGAGAACACCTGAAGACCTGTGAACAGTGAACTGAGCCCCCTCAGTGAGACGGCTCCAAGGGCCGAGTTCACAGCTTTCCAGCGACTCTCACCAAGCATTACAGGGGTCACAGAGACCATGGGTCACTCGCTGCAACAAACTGAGGGGACATTCAAGAGCCCGACACGACGTCTCACATGACCTAAGCACACGTCAGGGCAGAAGAGGGCCCCTGGGAGCTGAGGCAGGAATGTGTTTTGAAGAAAACTTGTGTGCAACAGCCAAGCTGGGGGAGTCCAGGCCTCCCAGCTGTGCCCAAGCAGCAGTTAAGAGCCTGTGATTGGGGCTCGGGTGCCAAGAGCTAGGGCAGCCCCGTACAGGGTTTGTGCGGCCTCATCTTCCCCTCAGAAAGGCTCTTAGGGTCCCTGACTGGCCAGCTCTCCCCGAGGTGACTCACAGGGGTAGCCTTTGCAGAGGACCTCAATGGGCGTCGACATCTTCTTCTCGCTGATCCGCTCGTACTTCTGGCGCTTGGTGGCTGCTTTGAGGCCCTGCCAGGGCAGGGAGCCCAGGTTGAAGTACATGAGCACGTAGCCCAGACTCTCCAGGTCATCTCGACGGCTTTGCTCTGCACAGAGTTGAGGGCAAGGTGAGGGGCAGGGGTCCTCTCAGGTCCCTAGCTCCTCCTCACTGTGTACCCAGGACTCCCTGTAGCCTGTATGTTGGCTCACTGCACCCCTGTTATAAACAGACTGCTATTATCCTCCTACAGAGAAGGGGCCTCAGGCAAAGCTTTCTCAACTCAATTGGGGCCTAGTTTTCCAGCTCAGGCACTTAACCCTTCCATGACTACGAGTGTGGGCACCCACAGCCTCCTTTCCTGGCCCACCCCATGGAGAGGGCACGAGCTCTGGCATCAGACGGGGCTGGGGTCAAATCCAGCTTTGGCATTCGCTAAGCCGCACGACCTTAAGCCACCTGCATAAACCCCTGGCCTGCTCTTCCCAGCCCGTATAATCAAGAAGCGTCCTCACCCCAGCAGGAGGAATGGGAACGGCTGGGCACACGCAGGCACACACAGCTCTGCTCATAAAGGGGAAGATGCAACTGTGCAGGAGGGGGAAAAGCCCGGGTCTAGGGGTGGAGGAGGTGGAAACTCTCACCAGAAAAGTGCCTGGGGGCTGCGAGGGCTTGGGAAAGACAGGTCCTGGCCCACAGCCATAGTCCTGTCTCACTCACCGATGCCCAGGTGGGTGTTGATGGAGGCGTAGCGGGCAGTGCCAGTCAGGTTCTTGTTTTCCCGGTAGGGGATGTGCTGGTGGGTGCGGGCATCCCGGTACTTCTTGGCCAGGCCAAAGTCGATGATGTAGACCAGGTTGCCCTTCTTCCCCAGTCCCATGAGGAAGTTGTCGGGCTTGACGTCCCGGTGGATGAAGTTCTTGGAGTGGATATACTCGATGCGGCTGATCTGGAGAGGTGGAGGAAAGAGCAGTCATTCAATAAGTGTTCAACAGATGGGCCTTCACCAAGTACTCTGGGCCAGGTCCGGGCTGGGGGCTGAGGGCTGGGGCTGCAGGCATGAAAATCGCACACATGGTTTCTGCCCTGGTGAGGGGCAAAGATCTGACTTCAACTACGAAGGATGATTTCAAGGCACAGGTCAGGAAGGCATCCTTGAAGCAGGGACACTAGGATGAACTCTGAAGGAAGAGTTCACCAAGTTCATTGTGAGACAAAAGAACGCGAGGTAGGAAAGCTAATGGTAAGATTCAGAAATGAAGCTGAAGCCAGAAAGGCATCTGGGCCCTCCACTCATGAACTTGGGAAGCCTGAGTCAGAGGCAAGCAGTTTCAGGGGAGGGAAGGGCAGGAAGCATTGGGGAAACCTAGATTTGTCAGTGGTGACAGAGAGAGAGCACAAAACACAGGATTTCCTTTTTTTTTTTTTGAGTTGGAGTCTCACTCTGTCACCCAGACTGGAGTGCAGTGGCCGCTCCCAGCCACTGCAGCCTCGACCTGGCGATCCTTCTGCCTCAGCTTTCCAAGTAGCTGGAACTACAGACGCGTGCTACCACGCCCGGTTAATTTTTTATTTATGGTAGAGATGAGGTCTCACCAAGTTGCCCAGGCACGGGTCTCGAACCCGTGGGCTCGGGCAATCCACTCACCTCGGCCTCCCAAAGCACTGGGATTACAGGCTGAGCCACTGAGCCCAGCCAAAACACAGTATTTCTCTCCTGGCTTCCAAAAGATACCAAAGTCATGCAGACACAGTCCTCTTTCCTTTAAGCAATTTTTTAAAAACTCAAATGAATATTCACACAAGTGACATGTTCTCTGACAGATCACCTCCGCAGCTCCTGAGCCTTTCTTGAGCTCCACGCCATGTAAGATCCTGACAACCCGCTGCGTGCACACCCTTAGCCCAAACCACAGGTTACTGGCACATACTGCACAGGCTAGTGCAGATCAGTATGGAGACCCCCATACAGTCAAGAGCTCACATTCTGTTCCAGGTCCCTAAGCTTACGGCTTCATAAGGCTGCTTTCCTCCCTGTGCTCACAAAACTTAGGACCTAACATAGGTCATCAGCAGGGACCACTATGGCAGGCACCGCATGCCATCCCACGCAATCCCACAACAACCAACAAGGGAGATTCTCATGGGAGGCACCGAGGCTCACACAGGTTTTGCAACTCACCTAGGGTCACCACTCTGGGACAGGACCCAAGTCTGTGTAACCACAGTCTTTAAAATCACCTGAGGGCAGAGGTCCAGGTCCTACCCCAGGAGCCTGATTCAGCAAGTCTGGAGTTGGGCCTGGAATTTTATTTTATTTACTCATTTTTGAGTCAGTGTCAACCTGTCGCCCAGGCCGGAGTGCAGTGGCACAATCACAGGTCACTGGAGCCTCAAGTTCCTGGGCTTAGGCCATCCTTCTGCCTTAGCCTCCTGAATATCTGAGACTATAGGCACGCACCACCAAGCATGGCAAATTTTTTGATGTTTTGTAGAGATGAGGTCTTACTATGCTGCCCAGGCTGGTTTTGAATTCCTGGGCTGAGGCAATCCTCCTGCCTCAGTCCCCCAAAATGCTGAGATTACACGTGTGAGTCACTGCGCCCAGCTGGAATCTAAACTTTAAGTAGCCAGTGGTCAAAGGTACCTGGTCTAGGAGCTAGGCCTGGCCTACACCTCCGCCACTACGCCCTCCTGCAGCATCCTCTGGAGGCAGGAGGCAGGGCCAGTGTCCTGGCCGCCGGGGACGTAGAGGCAGCTTGCCCAGCAGAGTGAGTAGCCACCTGGTCAAGGTCGCTGAGGGACTCACCATCTGGTCAGCCAGGAGCAGCACCGTCTTGAGGCTGAACTTGCGGGAACAGAAGTTGAAGAGATCCTCGAGGCTGGGCCCCAGCAGCTCCATGACCATCACGTTGTAGTCACCCTCGGCTCCACACCATTTGATGGACGGGATCCCCACTGGGAGCCGGGGCAGAGGGATTGTCAGGGGCCGCCACCTCCCCTGCAGCACCTAGCCCCACACCCACATCACCCACACCACCACAGCCCTGCCACCAGCCTAGCCCTCCCAGCCCTCACCTCCCCCCTGCATCATCTTGTAGAACTTGCTCTCGATGTGCAGCTGGGGGTGCTTTGTCTTCACACACTCAAGCTTGATGGCAACTTCCTCACCAGAGGCGATGTTGGCACCTGCCCGGGCAGAGGAAGCAAGGGACCAGGGTCACCCTCGGCCAGCCAGGCAGCCCCACATGCCCCACTCAGCACTTTCTTGAATCAGGGTTTCACTCTTGTCCAGGCTGGAGTGCAGTGGCACGATCATGGCTTACTTGCAACCTGAATTTCCTGGGCTCAGGCGATCTTTCCACCTCAGCCTCTTGAGTAGCTGGAACTACAGGTGCATGCCACCACACCCAACTACTTTTAAAATTTTTTCTGTAGAGGCAAAGTCTTACTATGTTGCCTAGGCTGGTCTCAAACTCCTGACCTCAAGCAATCCTCCTGCCTCAGCCTCACAAAGTACTGGGATTACAGGCGTGAGACACTCAGCATTTCTGAAGTCTGGTGTTCACCAGGCCTGGGCTAACAGGCATCTGCCCTTGAGGAGCAAGTCTTGAGAAAGGATGGGAAAGGGGTAGGGGCTTCCTTAAGGGTTTCCTGAGGGTAGAAGGAAGAGTGGCATGTCCCAGGGAAGGAGGCGAGATGCCACAGACGACTTAAGAGCCACAGGTAGGACGCAGCAAGGAAGCTGGATGAGAGTGGGGAAGTGACAGGGACCAAGACTCCCAGACCACCTACGACAAGGGGCTTAATCATGGAGAGGGGCGAGATCAGTGGGAGTGTCAGGCTGAGGAGGCTGTGGAGGCAAGGGCCCCGGTGGGCTGGGGTGCTAGCTACACCAGGACAGCCCTGCAGAGCGGGATGAGGCTGCGATGGGCATAATAACCAGATCCCCACCCTGCCCACACCAGTGCCCACACTGTGAAAGGCAGTCCCTCACATTCTATCCCAGTGTCTCGTTCAATTCTTATCCCCACTTTACAGATGAGAAAGTGAGATTCAGCTCACGCTCACATGACTAGTAAGTGGTGGACTTGAGTCAACCCCTCTGTTAGCCTTCAAGTCTAGGTAAGAGGGTCCTGCTTGCACCTCCACCTCTCTCCCACCCTACTCCCAGGCTTTCAGGAGCTCTAAGAAAATACCCTCGCACACACCGAGGCCCAGTTCTCTGCTTGGGCCCACCCCACGACTCAAGAAAGACCAATCCAAACTGTACCTTGCCTCATTTAGGACCTAGCATGGCTCACCAGCGGGGCCCGCTAAGTGTAGGCGAGATGAAGGGCTGTGGACCAGGCTGAGACACAGGGAGTCTCCTTGGGGTCAGGAGTGACTCCAACTACAGGAATTAAAATAGGATCACATAAGCACACAGACCATCTAGTCTGCAGGGGACTCAACCACAGGACGAATTTAGGACAGGATAAAGCTGGCACCTCAAATCAGGGAAAAAGATGGGACTATTAAAAAAATGTCCTCGCCGGGCTCAGTGGCTCAGCCTGTAATCCTGTGCCTTGGGAGGCTAAGGTGAGTGGATTGCCTGAGCCCAGCAGGTCGAGGCAGTGGTGGCTGGGAGCGGCCACTGCACTCCAGTCTGGGCGACAGAGTGAGACTCCAACTAAAAAAAAAAAAAAAAAGCCGGGTTTGGTGGCTCAGCCTGTAATCCTGCGCCTTTGGGAGGCTGAGGTGAGTGGATTGCCTGAGACCGCGGGGTCGAGACCTGCCTGGGCAGCGAGACCTCATCTCTACAATAAATCAAAAAAAATCAGCCGGACGTGGTAGCGCGCACCTGTAAACTTGGAGCTCAGCAGGTCGAGGCTGCGGTGACCGGGAGCGGCCACTGCAAGCGGCCACTGCACTCAAGTCTGGGCGACAGACTCAAAACAAACAAACAAACAAAAAGTCCTTGGGCCAGGTGCAGTGGCTCAGGTCTGTAATCCCAGCACTTTGGAAGGCTGAGGTGAGCAGACTGCCTGAGCCCACGAGTTCGAGAACAGCCTGGGCAACTTGGCGAGACCTCATCTCTACAACAAAAATCAAAAAATTAACCAGGCATAGTAGTGCACGCCTGTAGTTCTGGCTATTTGGGAAGGCTGAGCAGGACTGCCCCAGCCCAGCAGGTCAACGTTAGGGTGGTCGTGAGCATTCCACTGCACTCCAGCCTGGGTGATGCAGTGACACACACACACAAAGTCCTTGGAGCATACTCTGGCCTTCTGAGGAAAGACACTGTAGCTCACACCCCAACCAGAAGAAATTCCAAGTGGAGCCAGGGTTTGTACGTAAGAAAAAAAAAGGTAGAGGCATACATGGGCACACCCGCTGCCTTTATCCAGTAAAGGTAACACAAACAAGCACTGGCCCGAACAACTCCATTCCAGAGTATGTGTCCTTCGGAGACACATGTGCACCAGGGGAAAGGACCAGGATGTACACAGGAACAGACAGCCCAAATTCCTGGCGGCAGCGGCAGCAGCATAGGAATAGTGGCACAGTCACAAACAGAGTCCCAGGGGGCAGTGAATAGGAACAGAAGCCGGTTTCACATACGACCCGGGTGACTCCCAATGGCTCAACTCCAGAGGGCACAAGAGCACACAGCACTCCTCACGACAGCCAATGGTGGAAACAACCCTGGCGTCCACGACGGAGGAAGAGACGAACAGAACATGGGACACCCGTACAGTGGAATACTATTTGGCTATGTAAAAGGATAAAGTACTGATTCGTGCTACACCAACCTCAAAAACGTGATGCTCAAAGAAGTCAGATACTAAAATACACATACTGTATAATCCTGCTCTTGTGAAATGTCCAGAACAGGCAAATCTATACATACAGAAAGAATGGTAGGTGCCAGAGGCTGCGGGGAGTACGTATAGGGAGTGCCTGGTAATGGGCATAAGGCTTCCTTCTGGGGTAATGGAAAACGTTTTGGAGCTGGATGGGGTGGGGGCTGCAGAATACTGTGAATGTGTTAAATCTGATTAAACTGTACTCTTTAAGATGGTGAAATTCTATGGCATGTGAATTTCTCCTCAATTAAAGGAAAAAAGGAGAGAAAGCAGGGCCAGAAGAATGCAGGCACAGCTGTCTGTCTTATCTAGAAGCACGCCAACAACGCTGCAAGGTGCAGAGTTTAGGGACACAAGCATGTTAAAATCCCAACAAAAGGGGAAATTTTATATGTCAGATAGTGGTTACCTCTATGAGGGGAACACAAGGGACGGGACAAGGAAGGGGGTCCCAGGGGCCTTCAAGGTGACAGGAATGCCATCCCCCTTCAACTGAGTGGTGCCCAGGGAAAAGTGCTTTATCCCATTCACACATTCCTTGTATTTAGTCAACCATTTAATAAAAAACAAAACAATGAGACATTAAGGGCAACCCCCTCGGGTCCCCTCCCATTTTGCGAGCTTTTCTATCCCCTCAATAAGTCCTGCTTAAAAAAAGAAAGAAAGGCCGGGTTTGATGGCTCAGCCTGTAATCCCGCATCTTGGGAGGCTGAGGTGAGTGGATTGCCTGAGCCCGCAGGTTCAAGACCCGCCTGGGCAACTTGGCGAGACTTCTTCTCTACAATAAATCCAAAATTAGCTGGGTGTGGTAGCGCATGCCTGTAATTCTGGCTACTCGGAAGGCTGAGGCGGAAGGATCGCCGGAGCCCAGCAGGTCGAGGCTGCGGTGGCTGGGAGCAGCCACTGCACTCCAGATTCCAACTCAAAAAAAAAAAAAAGAAAGAAACATTAAAAGAAGGGAGAACTGCCTTATAACCTTGGGGTTAGGCAAGGCTTCTTTAAATTCCTGACTTAGAATCCAGAAGCCATTAAAAAAGAAAATCCTTCCTCTATTAAAAAAAAGAATCCTCTGCATGGCAAAAACACCAGAAATAAAGTCATGCGAAAATCATACTCGCAATGCTTAATACAGGCCAAGAACTAATATATAATGAGCGCCTACAAATCAGTAGGAAAAAAGACTCAATAGGAAACAGGGCAAAAGATTTGAACACACACTTCACAGAGAAAGAAATCATTAATATACATGGCTTACTCACAGGGAAAGATGCTCAACCTCCTTGTAAGAGAAATGCAAATTAGAATGATCCTGAAAGATCATTTTCACTAGGATTGTCAAAAGTCCCACAAGATAACATCCGCTTGTTGGTAAGACCATGGGTGGGCGGGCAGGTTGGTGGCTGAGCGCTCCTCCCCAGTGGTAGATGAACTGGTAAATTCCCCCTGGAGGGTGGCTTGACACCACCCAGCTCTGACCAGCAACCCCACTTCTGGGAGTTAACCCCACTTCCTTGCACGGTACAGAACAAGGCCTGCAGAGGGCTATTCGCTGCAGGCTGTTTGCAAAAGCAAGAGCCTGGAAACAGAAACATCCCGAATGTTCATCATGTGGAGGCTGATTAAACAAAGACTAGCCCATCCATAAAGCAGAATACAATGGAAAAGGAATGGGGAAGTTCTGTACAGAAGTGGAAAGTTTTCCAAGATACAGAAAGTAAAAAAGCAAAGTATGGAACAATGTGTGTTCTATGCTCTCATTTCAGTTTTTCAGGAAAAGGTGGGGAAACAAGTGTCTGTGTTTGGCTGTATTTACATAAAGAAACACTAAACAGAAACATGAGAAACCAGTAAAGACATGAGAAACCAAAGCTGTGTGGTCAGAGAGGAAGGGGGGGAACACTTCACTGGATGCTATAAGTTGTGATTTATCTCAACACCTTTATTGAGATATAATTCACATACTCCACAATTAACTCACTTAAAGTATGCAATACAATGGTTTTCAGTACATTCATCACTACAATCAATTTTAGAATACAGTTGGCCCTCTTATCTGTGGGCTCCCCATCCGCAGATTCAACGAATGTGGATCAAAAATGTATGAAGGAAGGACAAAAAAACAACAAAATTTTAAAAACAACAAATTTTAAAAATACTAATTACATAATATGTATACTGTATTGAGTATTATAATACCTAATCTAGCAATCTAGAGATAAATTATATGAGAGGATGTGTTTACATTACATGCAAATTCTATGGCTTTTCTTATCAGGGACTTGAGCAACAGTGGACTTTCGTGCAGACAGTGAGGGATGACTATTTTCATCACCCCCAAAA